CTTTGTTGATCCAAACACTGCTGATCTCTCAACACAAATGATAGGCAGATTAAACAGTTCATTTCGATGCTTCTCCCACACAATGGGTGTTTGGATCTAACTTCCGCTTTTATTGCTTGGACTGTATCGCAAGATCTCGAAAATCCCGCGCATGCCTGTTTGCGCACCTCAGGTCTCTGCACCGGAGCGGAGCTGTTAGTATAATTTGAGTTCGGAAGCGAGTGGCAGTGGAGGGCGGGGGCGGAGCGGAGCGGAGATAGTGGAATTTTGGGGTAAGTCAGCTTCCTTGTTTATCCGGAACTGCCACTCAGTCTCGACTCTTTCTGAGCGCTGCGTCACCGTTCCTAGATTAAAGCCGCGTGCTCTGTTCAAACAAACGCCAGCCATTCCGCGTCTGGGTCACACAGCCACGCTACAAGCAACCTCCGCTACACATCAGCTCAGCCAATCTAACCTGACAGACTATAGATACAGAATAAAGGAATGCAAAATTGGAGGGTCTGACCTATCAGATCATAAAGCAATTTATCTCAAAATTCATTTAAACAATAAAATAAAAAAAACTATGGAAATTAAATACAGAAATACTTACTAATACAGATATAACAACACAGATCAGTAAAAATATTTAGGAATTCTTGAGAGATAATGATAACGGAGAAGTACAGCCAGATATACTGTGGGATGCAATGAAAGCAGTGATTAGATGGACATTAATTGCATTTACAAGCAAAATGAAGAGAAAATACTAAACAATGTGAAAAACTTACAAAGGAACTTGAAGAAATGGAAAAGAAAGACAAACAGAAAACAAACGAAGACACGGGACCAAATAAAAAACGTCAGGAACCAAATAAATGAATTACACCAAAATGAAGAAATCAATGCAAAATATTTAAAACAAAACTACTACGAAGCAGGACCTAAAGCAATGAGGCTACTAGCAAGAAGGATAAGAAAACAACAAGAACAAAATAACAAACAAATTGTGTAACCCAAAAACAAAACAAATTACACAAGAACCAAAAGAAATTGAAGAAATCTTTAGAGAATAAGGAACTTTATACACAACCAACAAGAATCAACACTAACGAAATGGGACCTACCCTCAATAGGGACAGAACAGAATAAGAATATAATGGACAATAACGGAAAAATAAATAATAGAAGCAATAAATAAACTTAAAACAAATAAAGCACCAGGAAGTGATGGATACCCAGCAGAATGGTATAACAATTTTAAGCAGGACTAATACTACACAAAACGTATAACTGAATTATGACCAACAATAAAATACCACCATCATGGCAAGAAGCCATTATCTCTGTAATACCTAAACCACAGAAAAACAAAGAAGACACGACAAACTATAGACCGATTTCAATTCTTAATATAGACTATAAAATATATACAACAATAATAACCAATAGAATTAAAAGATTCCTTCCATACATAATCGATGAGGACCAATGTGGCACAAGATAGCATACAAAGAACACTACATATAATACAAGAAATTAATACGAAAAAAATACCGGCAACTATAATAAGCTTTGATGCAGAAAAAGCATTTGATAGGGTAAACTGGGAATTCCTATATGCAATAAAAAAAAATTGGATTTCATTCACAAACAGTAAATTGTATTAAGGCCCTATACAAAGAACCAAGAGCATGAATTAAAATAAATGGATCAATATCAGATGAGATAAAGATAACAAGAGGAACGAGACAGGGCTGTTGCCTCAGCCCTACTCTGTTCGCGCTATATATCGAACCTTTAGCACAGTCAATTAGACAGGAGGAAGAAATAAAAAGAATAGAAATGAACAACAAGGAACATACCAAAATTCTTTTTGCAGATGATGTATTGAAATACCTTAAAAACCCGAATAATAATCTAAAGAACCTATTAGAACTAATGAAAACCTATGAGGAACACTCAGGATACAAGATCAACATACATAAAACACAAGCACTGCTATATGATCACACACTAAAAACAGAACTGAACAAATACAAGATTAAATGGGACAATAATCACATCACATATTTAGGAGTCAACATAACTAAAGACCTGAAGAATCTTTTTAAACAAAATTATGAGGAATTAAACCATGCGATAAACGAAGACCTAAACAGATGGACATCCTACCCATTACAATTATACGACAGAATAAACATTATCAAAATGAATTTACTACCATGACTCCTGTATATGTTCCAATCCCTCCCAATACCAATACCAACAATACAATTCAACAAATGGAATAAACAAATATCAAGATTCATTTGGAAAAGCAAAAAACCAAGAATTAGAAAATCTACCCTACAACTAGCAAAAGAACAAGGAGGGAGGGTTGTGCCAAATCTACCACTGGTACTACCAGGCAGCGCAAATTGGACCACTCACAGATTGGTGTGACCCACAAAACTTAAACCACTGGAAAACAATAGAGACAGAAGGAAAAGAAATACCATTCCAAACATTACCGGGGGAAAATACCAAAAATGAATATTGGACAAAAAAATGTAGAAAAATTGGACCCAATAACAAAGTTTAGCTTGGAAACTTGGAAGATAAGCAAGAAACTAAAAATGGACAGAGAAATAAGATTACTAAGATGGATAGGTTGGGACTCGGACTTTGAACCAGGAAAGATGGACAATAGATTCAAAAAATGGAATGAGACAGGAATAACAGCAATAGGCACAATTCAGAAAAAAGGGGTGCTAAACAGTTTCCAAGAACGTAAAGAAAAAATTGAAGTGGAAAATAAGGATGTTTAGATATCTACAACTAAGAGAATACTATATCAACCGAATTGAAATAAAAATTCAAGGGAATAATCAAATAATAACAATGATGATTCAAACATATACAAAACCAGCACCCAAAAGAAAACTATCCTTAATATATAAAACATTAATAACTATAGAAAACCAATCAACGCATTATATCAAAGAAAAATGGGCAAAAGAAATTAAGGAAGAAATACTGGAAGGGGAATGGAATGAGATGTGGGAAACACAAAATAGGACAACACAATCACAAAAATGGAGGGAATTTACCTGGCAGAACCAAATAAGATACTTTATCACACCTAAAATTACAAGTAAACAAATACAGAAACAAATGAGCTGTTGGAGGAATTGTGGAAATATAAACCCCAACCATACCCATATATTCTGGGAATGCAAGGGAATAAAACCTTTTTGGAACCAAATATACAAGAACACTAAAATAATACTAGGATATTATATTCCACAGACATTGAAATTAATGTACCTAGGATCCATGTGGGAAGAAATAGCAAAGGGAGATCAATACTTATGATAGCAGCCAAGAAGGCAATCACTAGGAAATGGCTCAGACCGGAGACACCAACATTAGAAGAATGGAGGACAATAGTTGAAGAAATACAGAAAATGGAGACACTGACCTACAGACTAAGACTGAAAGAGGAACAAATGCAAAAACAATGGGCTAAATGGAGACGTAATAAGCATATGGATATGAGAAAATAAATGTCAAGGAGAAACCTGCAGATGAGCTGACCTTTATTTATTTTATTATATTTTATTTTATTATTTATATCTTTTTTTTGCATTATAAGTACTCAAAATGAAAAGTTGAAGAATGAATGATAGGAAAGGGTAAGAAAGTCAAGAAGATAGAAATAGAAAGACAGAGGGTTTGACCGGGGAAGGAATAGAAACGTGAACAAAGAAGAGAATGAGAAGAAAAGAAGAAAAAGAAAGAGTGAAATGAATAAAGGTGGAAGAATACAATCGAAGGAATACCACTAGAAAACCACCAAGGGAAAATGAAAAGAACTCATTATGAAGACGAAAGAACTCGGGAAGAACTTAACATGAAAAATATTATGAATGCTGAGTACGATTGGGAATGTGTTTCTGATGTAAAAGTGTATAAATAAAAAGTAAAAAAAAAAAACTCAGAAAGACATAGTTCTACAAGTGGATGAAAAGTCCCCACCATCCTGTTTATTCTGAATCCTGCAGCACTATGGATCAGAACAGCTGCACACAGGAGCAGGAAAAACGGCAAGCTGTTGTAGTATATAATTCACAAACGCTTCTATCTTTGAACATAATTTAAACAGGATTATTGCCAACCCGTACATAATAGACATGCCACCATTACAATGTTAGCAGCAGAAATTAAATGTTATTACCATTTCCAACACAAATGCTTGTTAATGAAATACATTATATTTTACTGGATATATTTAAGCGTTATTTTGACTAAGATGAGTGTTATTAATACAAACCTAAAATGTTACTGAAATGTAGGTCAAATATTTTAACTATAATTATCAGATGGGAAAAGGAACTAAACACCAATCAAATGCATATTAATAAGCCTTTTACAATAAGAGTCTGTTATTTCAGCCTGATAATTTTGTTGTTTTATTTCATATTTTTAGCAGCAAACCAGTTTTGTTTCACTTGAAATGTTGTCAAATGGGATATTCAATTAATCAACAGAAGCTTAGATCAGAACACTTAACGAAAACATATTTTGCCTTTAAAAAAGTGAGGCAGTTGAATGCACAGAGTATGCATGTGCTGGCGCATGGTCAGGATGGTGCCGCCTCTGCCTCAATTTGAGCCAGGAAAAACCTTGAACTGCATTGTACACTACCACAACCATTAGTTATTCACTTACCCATTTAGAAAGGAACTGGTCTAAAAAACTGCAGAAGGATCAGCACAGTTTCTGATATCAACAAACACACACACACACACACACACACACACACACACACACACACACACACACACACACACACACAGCAAGGACAACGGGGTGGGGTGGGAGGGTTTGGAAAACACAGTAGGCGTGAGCGATCCACTTCGCGGCGCTTTGCAGCTGATGTGATTCCAGCGTAACTTCTGTGTAGACAGTAACAGTTTATTATGAGAGTTAACCTTTAGTTTAGTGTTTGTACGTTTTTGTTTCCCCTCTCGGCCTAGAGATGTGAGGCGTACTGGTGTGGAGCTGATCGGCCACCAGAGGCGGATCGTCAGCTGCATACAGACCCTTCAGCTTCAGCTTCTGCACGAACAGGAGAAGGGTTTCCATGTATGAAGGCACCCTTTACCACAGCCCAGGATGCACAGACAGCTGAAGCAGGAGGGAGTGAAGTCTAACCAATAAGAGGACGGGTCTACAGCCAGTGCCTGAGTCTGCTTGAACCCTCACGCAGGAGGTCAATGATAATTCACTCTAGCAGACTTCTTCCTGGTCTCTCATTCTTCCCTGCAGACTCTTTTCTACTTTACACCCCTGACACCAAACGCCTGGTTCTACCAGACAACTACAGCCTGACAGACTGGCCCGGGCTCTCACTTAGGGGAATGTAATGCCTTGTTGCAACAACATTTAATCTACTGAATCTTTGGACTTTTTACGCTCATGTAGCTGCTATTGGGTGTGCTATCTGTTTGGTTGTTTGAGAAAAAAATCTCAATATTTTTCAGTTTAGAGTTTGATCTGATTTATTATGAAGGTTTATTTGAATTGCTTTAGTTATTAATAGCTCTCTAGAGAACCTGGTACACTAATAATACTTGAAAGAAATGAAAAGTAAGTTAGAAAGATGTATTGAATGTTTAAGTGTGTAGATAATTGATAATAACTAATATAACCCGATATAAATATATGTGCTGTCCTGTTTGTGAAAGCCCAAGTGAACCTGAAGTTTATTTTGAATCTTATCAAGATCAGCAATACAGTATTATGCAGTCACCTCAGTATCTCAGAGACAAATGAAGAATTGTAAAATGATTTTTAATGTTAGACTAATTTGTTTCAAGGAAATTTATCACCATGGAACTCTTGACAGTTTAGGAACCCAGTGATTCAGCTTCATTTTTTTTTTCAAGTTATTCTGATTTTATTGATTTATTGTGAATGTCAAACCTTGCCTAGATAAAAGTACATGATCTTCACCATCTTAATATTTTGAATGTTCACAGATTTTACTCATAAAAAGAAGTTTTAAACGACCCGGAGGCTTAACGAAAACTTAAATGGCTCTTCCTGTCACACACAAGACAGATAGATGTTTTGATTTGTGGTGGACACTAGCACACACATTATCTGATGGAGTTTACAACCTAGTGGTTATATAAAGGTTGTGGTAGATAAAGATCTGCTCTGATTTGCAGTAGGTGTTATGGTTTCAGGTGTTTGCCCTTCAGATCTGGATTTTCTTCATTCTCTGTGGTGCAGAATACGTGTTGGTAGAGCTGGAGGCAACAGAAGTGGTTGTGTGGTTCAGTCTGGTCAGGAGAGGAGGCAGCTTCATTATAATTCATCACATCATCAGAAGAAGCAAACACACACTGAATGCCTTATAGTCCGTTAGCCATGCAAGACAAAAACACTTTAAAGTATTTTGTGAGTTTCAGTGCAGTCAGGACCTAGCCATTCCTTTGAGAGGAACTACCTTTGGTTTTTAGCTCAGTTTAACCAGACCCGAGGTCTGCTGGTCTGTGCCTTGCGGCCACAGTGCAGTCACGTATCCGGGCCTGCAGGGGAGCGAAAGGTGCACGCATGCATCCAGATAGATTTACACACACACACACACACGTTCACAGTTTCCACCCCTCTACAGAATCCTGAAACGATCAGATGCTGTTTGTTTAGCATGTTCTACTGCTGAGCAATGTTAGGACGTTCTTTTGTACAAAGTACAAGTCTACTTCTAATTCTTGTATTTTATTTTTCTATGATTTCCAAAGAGATGTTGTAGATCTTGCGCAAAGTAAGAGGCAGTTTCAGCGAATATTTCTTTGCAAATAAAGATGAACGGTTCTAGTGACTGCCTGCTTCTGTTTACGTTTTTATGGCAGCGAATAAAAAAAATTCAGTAACCTCTCCCAACGTGCCCTTTACAGGGAATTTCAATTCCATCATTTTCTTAATTTGGAAAATTTTAGGAGTAACCAATAGATGGAGCTGTTGGGAGAACGACCAGCTTTAAAGAGGTGATAAGTTCGACAATCTTTGAGAACGTTTAGAATTGGCCGTAATATTCTGAATTGCGGCACAAAATTCATTCTGAAAGGATAATCTTTGTCATATCTTATTTGAAATGTTTTGTTAAATCACAGCTGATTCTAAATCTGAAGAGTCTAGCTGTATGTGAACAGAAGCTGCATTCCTTCTGGGTGTCCAAAGCTAAAAGTGTAATGAATCAAATCCATCCGGATGGGGGGCTCTGCATGAGCAGGTCACCGGGTGGTGCGCAGAACTTAATTCACTCTAATAGGATTACCTGTCCCAAGCTGAGATGGCTAAGCACCACCTCGCCTATTCAAACGTGAGTACCGTGAAGTGCTTTTCATGCCAGTGTTTTATTGTTATTGTTTGCTTCTGTTAGAATCTATAAATCTGCCATATTGGATTATCAGTAATCAGCCCATCTATGGGGTAGCGTGTTAGAACATCCAACAGACCTGGCATCAGCTGAGTGACATGGGGCTGCTGGATAAGCTGTCAGGCTGGCTCGGCCTGAAGAAGAAAGAAGTCAATGTTTTATGTTTGGGGCTGGACAACAGCGGCAAAACCACCATAATCAACCAGCTCAAACCAGCTAACGTAAGTTAATGTAAATCAGGGATTGATCGTGACTCCTGTTGCAAACAGACCTTTGTGTCTGTAGTCCTGCTGTATGGGTAAATATTCGTCTCTAATGCCGTTACAATGTTTTCGGCGTACAAATGGAAAAGTCTTTATTTCACTGCACTTGTTCATTTTCAGCATCCAAATCATTTAGGCCCCTTGTCAGAAGAGTGGAAACATGTTAGTCAGGTAAACCCCGTAACATACTTTCCTTTTATTACTTGACATACTTTTGCCATCACTTTGTGTGTGTGTGTGTGTGTGTGTGTGTGTGTGTGTGTGTGTGTGTGTGTGGCGGGGGTGCATGCAGACGCAGGCACAAGAAATAGTTCCAACTATCGGCTTCAACATTGAGAAGTTCAAGAGTTCGAGGTAGAATTAAAATAACGAACATTTAGTTTGATGCCAGGTTTAAATAACACACTGTTCTGCTTACAGCCTGTCGTTTACGGTCTTCGACATGTCGGGTCAAAGCCGATACAGAAGCCTGTGGGAGCATTATTACAGGTAGGAAACAAAAACACTCCAGCTGTCCACATTGTTTACCTTCAGTGTGATCCTTTACTCAGTTCTCTGCTTTTTGCAGGGAGAGTCATGCTGTCATATTCGTCATCGACAGCAGTGACAAACTGAGAATGGTTGTAGCTAAAGAGGAGCTTGATACGTTTCTAAACCACGATGGTAAAATAAACCTCATATAATTTGTTAGGATTAATGTCTCATTAGCAGCTTCTCATCTTTGTCTTTCTAGATGTCCTCAACAAAAAGATCCCCATATTGTTCTTTGCTAACAAGATGGACCTACGGGACGCGCAGTCTTCTGTCAAGGTCTCCCAGATGTTGTGTTTGGAGCGAATTAAAGACAAGCCCTGGCACATCTGGTAAAGCATACAACAGCCCTGAGTTTACCCTCAAAGCAGCATAAGCGGCATACTTCATTTTAGTCTAAAGTACCTCACAGGTTAAACATTACAAAAAGGCACAGCAGCCTGCAGTGGATCGTAAGACAAATGTGTTGACCTCCCGGTTTACTTGGACAGATGGAGGCCTGGTGGATTAGGAGTTGGACAGCCAGAGTCCAACTGAAGTCATCAGAAAATTTATTTTCTGTAGACTTAACCGTTAACAGACGGCCATGTTATTTTTCAGTGCCAGCAATGCCAACAAAGGAGAGGGTCTGCAGGAAGGGCTGGACTGGCTGCAAGGTAACGAGTCTGATTGCGTTTCACTTTAGATGCAAAGAGGCTTTGATGCTTTCAAGCAACCAAAATATTCTTTTCTTTTTCATTACCTCAGACCAAATTGCACAGTGAGTACAGTTATGATGTTTTCCCTCTGGATTAGTTTGGTGTTGAGTTTGTTACCAACGTAGATCACCGATCTCTACCATGTGACTGAATTATTTTTTGTCTTCCTTCAGATCGTATCAAAACCATGAACACGTAAACAACCAGACTTAATTCTGGGTTGGAAACTTGACTCGCTCACTTTTCAGTATTCATATCTTAATGTTGTAGGCCTTAAACCACACATCACAGAGCCTAGCGCTTACCTGAAAACGTAATATAAATGTGTAAAATGTTTATTGGATAAACTTCCAGCTTTTCACAGCATCAGACGCAAAATGGAAATGCTGTCTAAATATAAAATGTCTTTTTCCTGTAACACTTTGTTAGAAGCTGCTGCTTTTTTATTGCTATGACACATTTTATTATTTTGAGCCAGTGAGAAACTTGCTTAAACTGTTGAATGTTTTACTGACTGGAAACATGTTCCTGAGCGTTTATATATTTCAAGTGTTTAGTAAAAAAAGATCAAAATACAAAAAATGCTGGTTTATTACATGAAATAAAATGTATTTAGAGAATGAAATGTGAGTAAATACTGTAAAATAAGATTTACTGTTAATAAATATGAAATATGTTAATAAAACTTTAACATCAAAGAAGAAAAATGTCTGAAGTTTGGTCAAATTTTATAAATAACTCAGAGGTGTGTCTGTCTGAGCTCAGGTTTGTTCTCACCTCTGTACTTTAAAAGAACAACCTGTTTTACAGCTATAACTAGTTAACTTGTTAAATCACTGGTGTGTTTTTGTTTTACCTCCCAACTCGTTGGGTTACTTTGGAGTTTAGGAGGACGTGAACCATCTGGAAAGCCTCTCTGTTCTCCAAGTCATTTCCTGGAAAGGGATGGCATCATTGGATTATAAAACAAAAAACATCTTGGAAAATTTGACACACTTAAGCATATGGATTAGGATTATGGAGATAGCTAGAGAGTTTCAGAAGATGACAAACAAAAACATTTAAAGGTCTGTCAGAGATCATCTCGTCTGGTCTAACAAGACTTTGTCCAAAAATAATAAACTTTACTTTTACATGGTTGATATATCATTTAGCCGTTTTAGAGCTGTGGAGCACTGAACAACCATTTTTAATGATTATTTCTGACTCTAACGGGTCACTGAGTTTTTCATGCAGGCCAAACATGAAAGTAGTCTCCTACACCTATCTCCTGCATTAGCTTCTGATAGAAAACAGACGGTGAAACTCTAGGATTAGAAAAGCCTGACAGATCTGCGTCACACTGTCACTAACATTCATGGACTAACCCATCTGAACTCATGACGGGGACGGCTGTTGTTGGTTTAGTGTCCAGGAAACAGCAGAGAATATCTCGGCTTAGAAAAGCTAACTGTTAGCATTAGCAACTCCTCCAGGCTTGTGTTGTTTGTGGAGATAAAACATCAACGTTTTAGAGTAGTGTTGCTGTTAGCCAATAAGAGGGAGAGATGTCCAAATCCTGTGGTTTTCAGCTCAGTTCTGACAATTTTTAGTTTCTGAAACTGATGCACCCACCGGAGCTGTTTCCCCAGAGTGCGACTTACAAGGCACTCATTCCTACTAGAGACCCCTGTAGACATATTGATTAAACGAGTGTTCCACACCTTTAAATTACATTCTCTACTTTTTAAAAGAATTTGCTCTGCAGGAATACTAAAAATGTATCACGATAGGAAAAAAGCATACCAAAAAAAAAAATTCATATTGGTCGATATTATTGGTAACTATAGAAAAACGTAGAAAATACATTTCAAGTACAGCCCTGACCATTTTATGTCATTGGTTTTTAGAGATTCTATGCTCATTTTGCTGACTTGTAAAAATCCAACTATCGCCATGCTGGCGAGCTACTGTAGCCTTATACCATTACTGCACATGATGTAGATTTTAGACCATATCAGCCATTCTCACCTGCTAGGGCTAATCTAAAGGTCTCCCAGGTCATTTCTGAAAACATGTTCTCTAGTTGCTCTATGAAGGGGAGCATTTCAGGCTTGGTGCTGAACAGCTTGGAGATCTGCTGAACCATTTTCCCTACCTAGTCCACGTGGTGGTTGTCCTCACTCACCTGAAGCAGCAAGCAGGAAAATTAAATTGAATCATCAGTTACAGGGCCCTTTTCTGGATACAGATCTGGTTTATTCTTGATTTAGCTGTCCACACAAAGAAATGATCAAAGGATGAACAGAAAACTTTCTAACAATAAAATAACTAAGCAACTGTTCAGATATTGTTAGAGAAAATGCTTCTAGTCATTGTGTCACCATGGTTACCTGGATCAGGTGGGTGATGAGTAAGGTTGCCAACTTTCTCTCAGCAAAATAAGGGACATTTTTTTGGTATTTGGAAAAACTCCAATACAAAAACAGAACACAACCTTAGAAGGATAATCAAGAAATTTATGTAAATATGCAGCTTGCATGGGAACACACATGAATATCATACTGGGGAAACAGTAAAAGTAAAACTGTAAAAGGTTCAAAATTATGTACACATTTCAACATTAGGCAGTAGTATTGTTTTGTATCCTTACAGAAATTGAACTTCATATGTATGAATAAACCTGAATACAATCACAGCTTGAACATTTATAGCAAACATATATAACACATATATTCCAAATGGCAACAGATTTCATGACACAAAGTGTATTATTTCCATGGATATTTTTTGTTGCTCCTGACTAACATTTCACTTCCTCACTCAGAGAAAAGTCCTTGCATGACAGGTCACAATTTGCAGTAATTAGAAGTTAATTCTTGATCAGTTGAGAGCTGCATCTGTTTCTGGAGTCCGAACATTTTTAGTTTTAACAGTGAAGATCCTCTCAACAGAACTCAGAACTTTATCCAAATATGCAGCTTGCATGGAAACACGCATGGATTTTATACTGGTGAAACGGTTCAAATCATGTATACATTTCAACATTCAAGCAGTAGTATTGTAGTGTATCCTTAAAGAAATTGAACTAATAAACCTGAACCGAAATCATTACAGCTTTATAGGAGTTAAACTGATTCCAAATGATATGAGGGAATAGATGTCATGACTCAACACCTAGTTTTTCCATGGATATTTTTTGTTGCTCCTGACTGACTCAAGCATTTTTTTGTCATTTTGCACAGCCAGAGAAAAGTCCTTGCATGACAGGTCACAGTTCACAGTTATTAGAAGCTCGTTTTTGATCAGTTCAGTGCTGCATCTGTTTCTGGAGTCTGACCATTTATTAGTCATTACAGAGAAGATCCTCTCAACAAAAGCGTTTGAGCCTGGCACACTGAGAACAAATGAGACAATCTTGAACAGGTTGGTCAGGTTGGCTTTGCCTGTGTTCTGTATGACTGCCATCCACTTCTCGCTGGTGGTTTTTGCTTTATCCTGGCTTGCTTTCTGCAACCCCCCCCCCCCCCCCCCCCCCCCGGCAAGTACAAAACTCTTCATAGAGCTGATCCATGTTGATCATTTCTGTCATTTTCAGGGCAGTCACAATCTGCTCCAGGTGAGAGAAGGTGAGTTTCTCATTTAGTCCAATGGGCTTCAGTTTCATCATCACATTCTCTGGAGAGAAATCCATCCACTTGTCAATATAAGGAATGACAGAATCATAGAACTTCAGAAAGTCCTGCTGCTGCTTGGATTTTTGTGGTGGCGTTTGTTTGTCCATCAGTTGCCTGGTCTGATATCCAAAAAAGCTCTCCTGTTTCCGTTGCACCATCTTAGTTCTGAATTTCTGCACTTCTTCATAGACATCTGTGATGCAGAGTTTTGTTTCCTCCAACCTTTTCACGAGCTGATCAAAAACACAACCTACGTTATGAAAGAAGCACAGGTAAATCTCTGCTGCATCTGTTTCTCTTCATTCTCAAATATCTTTTTTAGAGCTACGGGACAGCTCTCTCCGAGCGACCTGAAGTATGAGACGAGAGCAGGCCAGCTATGCAGGAGGCGGTCAACAGCTGGATGAAGAGAAAGCCATCAGGTGCAAACATGACGCAGAATTTCATGCCACTCAATATCAACAAAGTTGAAAAAACTCTGCAGTTCCTCTCTCCGTGAAGCAGATACTGAAAAGTGGCTGTAGATCTTCAGGACAAGTGCCTCTATGTCCACAGAAAGCTGATCACATGCAGGCTTGCAGGTGTTGTGCGCAATGTGAGCGGGGCAGTTTGCCTTGAGAATGCGATCATTATCACTGCTGAACAGTGAATAAACTGAATGATGTTTACCAAAATTAACATTGGCATTATCTGGTGAATATGCTGAGATGTGACCAATATCTAGATCACTTTTTTTTAAAGAGTTCATCAGTGCTTGATGTATGCCATTAGCGGTTTCATCACAGTCTTCATAAAAGTCCAGTAACTTACACTGCACTCCTTCAGAAGCAGAGAAATATCTGACACACACTGGAAACATCTTTCTATTACCTTTGTTCGAGGCATCAGTGGAGACAGAAAAATATGCAGGCTCACCTTCTTGTGGAGACAGCTCGTCCAAAATATCCCGCACAGTTTTGGGTCCTAGAACGTTCATTGCAATCATTTCTGCTTTTGTCCGACCCAAGTGAAGCTTTTTTACCACATTATTATCACTGAATAAGGCACCATTAAGTTTAACAAGGCAGTCTGTGCTGTTGTAACTTAGTCCATGTTTCACTGTGTGTACACATAAGCAGCTTCAATTGCAGCAACTCTGTCATTTTCAGCCGTGGATGTTGCTAGGAATGCACCGATGTTGCTGGCACCTTTAGCTTGCTTGGCTTTCTTGTGCATGTCTGTGGCAGCGTGCTGAGTGAGATCATTTTCACCTCCATGGCCAACAGAAAATTCTCGGCGGCATAAAGTGCAGAAAGCTTTAGTTGTGTTGCTGCTCACGGGCTTAATCCATGTTTGTTTTACCTCCCACTCCTTTTTGTACCTGCACAGCCTTTTCTTTTTCGGAGGTTCATCCATATTCCCAAAACAGCTTCCAAATTGACTCAAAATCCGACCGCTAGATCGCACCTGCTGCTGCATGAAATAAGTCCTCTATGGAGTCTTACTACCATCTG